AGAAAATATGTCTAGCTGAAGGAGGCATGGATCTCGCATGATGGCCCAATTGCAATTACCTAGCTTATTTCAACAAATCAAATCGATCATTACTCTCTATTTTCTGTCTTGAAAGGAGGAGGGAAATTAGTGCAACAGATTTCGAATGGTCATATGTTGGATTTTGGCTATTCTCTGAGGATTTAAACAGGTACATATGTTAGATCAATGCATTACCTCCAGGAAAAGCATTTAAAATAATTTCGACTCTGAGACAGGGGAGGTGCTAACAACCAACCCACATGTTTTTTCTGAAATGTTGTTCTGATTTGAAACCCCTTCCACCCCTGCTTTTTTAATTTTTGTTGCATCACTATGTTTTGTTTTGACACAAAGTTAACCACTTTTAAGGAATAAGTAATTCCTAGGGGTTCTAAAAATATCCATTATGGGTGACTAGCTGAAAGCAATGGATTGCATGAGTTCCCCATAGGAAAACAACATGGGAAATATTGTTTTCCACTTTATCTAAAAGAAATCACTTATTCCTTTAAAGGGGTTAACTGTGTTTCAAAACGCAAATATATTTATGAAAGAAAAAATATAAAAACTGCCCCTGTCAATAATAAACTATAGGTTTCTCATTACAAAATAATTACCTAGCGGAGATAAGATGAAAACCTTGCGTTACAGAAAAAGAATATTAGTGAATAAGCAATGAAATCCCTAGGATTTTTTCTCAGGTTTTGTGCAAATATTTTCTTGACAATTTTCGCCGCTCGCTTCGCTCGTGGCTTTTAAATCTAAGGGATTTATGCCGCTTGTCTCTTATCTGATTTTACTAATTTACAAAAAGTGATATTGGTAGGGGGGGGGGGGCATGTTAACGATAGCTGCTAACACAATATACCCTTTGCTTTCGTTCGACTTCACTTCTTAAAAGAGAGCTTCGTCTTCACTCTTTCAGTTTACAATAAATATCTGATCGCACCGAGCCAATCAGGGTTCGTCGTCGACGTACAGACGACTTTCTATATGGTTATTTCCCCTGGTATCACCGCATACTAGTAGTTAAATGAGCACGTATTTAGTTCCTTCCATCGGTTGAGAAGAGATCAGCGTGGTAGATTTGAAATGATTTATAACCCGGGCTGTCACAGGCACCAATCTTTGGGACGGGGCTGCTAAACTTGCATTAATATAGTCTATACTATCTCATCTCGGGTTCCAGACTCTCATTCTGGGTAACTTATGCTTTGCTTTTCCCGACTCTCACTCCGGCTTCCAGACTCTCACTCTGGGTAATTTATCCTCTGCTTCTCCGGACTCTCACTCCAGCATCCAGGCTCTCACTCTGGGTAACTTATCCTATGCTTCTCCGGACTCTCACTCCGGTTTCCAGACTCTCTGGGAAAATTCTCACTTCTCTTATCCAAGAGGACAGTTTCCACTTCAGGAGGTCTCTGGCACTATCGAGGGAACTATTTCAGAAGCACTTCCTACTCCGGTCTCGCCCAGCTCCAAACCAGGGTATCTTCTGAAGGATGATCAAGATAGCCTGATACCTGGGAGGCTTCCTTGGGTTATGGACCCAGAACTGCTCCTTTAATATAGACGATCTATCACTGACTGACGTAACTACTGGGATCAGATCACGTGACCACGGCACAATACAACAGCTTACAAGGGGGGGGGGTAATACTCGCTTCCAAATGCTTCAGAAACGCCAACACACGCCAAATTGATGTCTCCACTATAAAATCTCAGCTTCTGGAAGATATCTAACGGATGATTAACGTAGGTCAACACTTACATCAAACTTGTCATGAACTTTGTCTCAGTAAATTCTGCTTTCTACAACCTCCAGGAGGTTTCGCAAAACTTCTGCTAGTGCTGCCCCACAACGTATCACCTGCTTGAATGCTTTAATTGACTTGATGCAATCTCTAGTTGCCACAATATCAGCTTTTTCAGGAGCGATTCACTTTCGCTGCATGCCGTCAGCCAAATTGAACGTCGTGTACCAATTGCCTAAAGGGGTCTAGCAATTGCTCAATACATCGATACATCGCATGATCATTACCACTTCCGGTATGTCAAACACTCAAATGGGACCCGCCCCCTTTATTGGGCCCAGATCTTTTTGGGCCCCAAGTTTTAGCCCTTTGAGCATAATTTGGCCTTTTTGTCCAGGTTATAAAAAAATAATAGTCCTTAATTTTTCAAAATTTGGGCCCAATTTTTGGTTTAGGGCAGAAGTGAGTACCTCCCACAATTCTTCCATATTCTACCGTATTTGGGGATTCCCCATTATACGACGTCCACATTTCAGGGGCCAAAATGTTTTTTCCGCGCAAGCGTGGAAACTTTTGCCCCCCCCCCCCCCCACTGTTAATCATAAAATTTATGGCCAGATAGCAATGACCTCAAAAGAATGATTTTGTATGATTTTTCGAATGATTTACATTAATTTAGTATTAAACTATCTATTTTCCCTTTCATGCCAATTTAGAGCAAATCAGTGGTTTATTTCGAGAAATGACGGCAATCATGTCGTAAGCATGAAAGTTAATTGCACATTAGACCTTTTTCCCGGGACCTTTTTATCAAATATTCATATCCTCTTCCCAATATAATTTCGTTAGATGTAATGAAGCTCATTTTCTTTAAGGATGGCATGCCTTATGCTTCTAATGTCATTACTAATCATATTGAAACGAGAAAATAAATTTGGTAATTTTAACATATATCTGTGCTGTTCAATCATTCACGGCGTCAAATGCTACTGCAAGAGAAGAACCTATAATCACAAATTACGTCACTTCAAATTACTAGAGTATTCGTTTTCTGTGAAGGTTAATCTAGAGTTGATAATAAAACCAGTCATTTGTCTTAAAAAAAACTTTAATTATTACATATTATCACAATATTTTGCTGTACTGAAACTTTGTACGCTCTAAGCTAGCATTCTGATTCATCGAAGTATATCTTTGTCTAGAGTTTGTTCATACACTTCCTGTGTAAGAAGGCTGTGGAACAAATAATGTCAAAGTAACAGTAAACGTGTTCATGCATCGTACGCTGTCTCTAAAACATACCCCAAATATTTCAAATTCGTAACTATCGCAGGTGTAAAAGGGTAGGTGGTTTTATCAAACTTTGGTCCCACTCTTTATTGATTTATATGGTGACCTAATTACAATTATTTTCCTTATTATTATTTATACTCAGTCAGGGCCAGTAAGGGCCGTAAGGAAAGGGGACCATAATCCTCAGGGGACCATAATTTCTTTTACACCGGTTCTCTGCTAATTTGTTTCCGTTTTCCAGTATTGATTTAATCGCATGTCAGACATGTTTATATAGCTGATAAAACAATTAAAATAAAAAAGCATCTGATTATCCACATAATTAAATGCATATGGGGAGTTGTGCTGGTCTATTTATCAGCGACAATACAATAAAACAACAGTACAATATAATAAAACGTAGAAACCGAGCGCCATTTGTATGGTATGTTTAAAAGGGTACGTATTTATTAACATTGTAGAAATACATGAGAAAATGAAAACAGCATTAACGTGCATGTGTTCACATTGAGAGATGTTCGGATTAAGCTGTGTTCGAATAAACAGGTTAAACTGTATAGCTGAGCTGTAGCATAGCATATCAGCTATTTAATACCCGTGTTGAAGTAAGGAGAATCCAGTCTATATAAATACTGCGACAAGGACAGTCACTTGCAGTCATTTGCCGTCAATGGAACAAGTAGAGGACTTTCTCTTCGAAACTTCGTACATACATTCAGAATAAACCAGAAGTCGAATGACCGGAATAATGATTAATGAAGTAATAATGGAATCGAATCGCTAGACGGATTTAAAGGCCATAGATCGAATTGCGCTAATGGTTTTAATCTTGTATTATCTAAGTTGTTCGCCATTTCGAAGTAACAATTATATGCTACTCAGGAAAAGATCAGAGATTCCACTTAGGGTATTGGATTCTAAGAATTGTTTCCCAAAAACGACAATTATTTCTGTGCGAATACAATCGAATCACGTAATTTACTGACAGTTTTAATGAACCAGAAATTCAATAAGTGCAGGGATTTCATCTTTGTGTAAAACATACGGACAAATACAGCGCAGATATTTTATCTGGTTACAGAGGGAAAAGACCCCATTATTAAGAGAACGGTTACCAATAAAACAACGACAAATCTTAAACTGATATAAAAAAGCATTCTTCGAGGTTTCGCTCGGCGCTAGTTATTTTATCACATGGATGGATAATAAGCGGATCGTCCGCAGAAGATAGCGTCATTGACAATAATTTTATTGTGAACCTAACTCGTTTGCAATCTCTTCAACAAAAGGGAACAGGATCAGAGAAGAAAATTAACAAAAGACATACGGATTATGGTATTGTTATTAGATCCGTTAAGGTACTTACAAGCCATGGAGCACCATTGAGATATACTTAAATTATACATCGGTAGGACTTTTTAATTGTACCGAAGCCAGAGAGAGGTAATCGCTTTTGAGATATCCTGTTCGAACGCCAAACAACCCGTAGGTTATGATCAGCACAAATACTAATACTAAGTTATAGCAGAAAAGAAGAACAGTTCCAAAGGGACAAACTAAACACAACACAGGAGACACTTTTGATACTAGGAGTATAATTTACTATGAGAACTAATAAATAAAGAGATCTGAACAAATGATGATTAACAATAGAACTGAAAACGTAATTATTGCCAACATCGTCAATGTAGCATTAAACAATGACAGGTAGCGTAACCTGTATAAATCCGTGGCTTATATTATTAAAATAATATCCACGATTAGTACAAATCGAGAAAACGTATTCTTCCCCCAGGACCATTGGATTAAGCATAAATATGAGAACTTTGCAAGACTGATCTATTAGGAGTCCCGCATTTCAGCAATTGTTTCGTGTTACATTTACTTCACTTAACCAATTAGAAAGTTGCCGTTAATGGGGTTTCATTTTGTCAGTTTTGATTGATGATGTGCTAGGAGGATAAAACCTATTGAAAGATGACTGGAAATATGACTTATCCAAACCTAGTCAAGTTCTCGAATTGGTACGGAGGTATCCATGGCTACCTTAGTATAGCAGTTTGTAGCTTCGGGATCGTTGCGAACATCTTTAATGTTGTCGTGTTGTCATGTAAAAATATGGTAACGCCAACCAACGTCATTTTACTCGGACTAGCTGTATCGGATTTGCTGACGATGCTATCTTATATCCCGTTTGCGTTACACTTTTATATTCTTTACCCGAGTCCGCCTATGGGATCGGCAGCTTCTCCTGAAAGGAATTCCCAACCGTGGGTAAAATTTTTCCTCTTTCATGCTCAGTTTACTATAACGTCGCACACAATTTCAATATGGTTAGGAGTGTTGCTGTCTATATTTCGTTACGTCTACGTCAAAGCGTCGAACGCTGGCAAAGTTCCGTGCGGTATAAATAAGGCGAGAATAACAACTGTTTGCGTAAGTGTTTTTGCTGTAATCATTCTTATCCCGAACTACATATGCCTTAGGATTTTACCCAAAACGACACCAGATAATCAAACATATTATGATCTTGAGACCCCTCATAACGGTTCTGACGTTCTTAAGCACATTGCAGTGTTAAACTTTTGGACTCAAGCCTTATTGGTAAAAATCATTCCTTGTGCCCTTATGACTGTGTTTGGAGGACTTTTGTTACTTACATTGAGGGATACAGGTCAACGAACTAGTAACCTTCGCAGATCAAACAACAGTAATACAAATCAAAACTTTAAAAGGCGCATGCGGAACCACACACGGACTACACGCATGCTGATAATGGTCATCGTGCTGTTCCTCGTGACAGAGCTTCCCCAGGGCATCCTGTCGCTGATAAGCGGTCTCAATCCATCGTTCTTTGATAATATTTACGTTCCTTTGGGGGATATAATGGATATCGTTGCCCTTATCAATTTCGGTATCAACTTTGTACTTTATTGTTCAATGTCTAAGTCATTTCGTGACTGCTTTGTGAAGATTTTTTGTGCAATTGATCCAAGTCTGGTGGAGAGAATTGGAAACAGTAGAGGCATAAGCAGTAAATGTCAAATAGGTAGTCACCAGATGCGGCCTTTAAATGGACACGTCGCTTATTTGAGTGACAGCCCGGAGGCTGAAAACATACCTACTAAGGAATATACTGTCGAACTTTTAAACGGATCAAATGGGAAATGCGTTGTAAAAAATGAAGGTTGCTTAAAGAATACGATGCTTTAATTGTAGGATATCGATCTACGTTTATTATCTAGTCAGACGAACATATTTATTCTGAACGGAAAAATAATCACGTCCTTGAACACTTGGAAGCAGTTAATCAACAACATGTGTCTTTTATCGCATGCTCCTCATTAATATGTTATCAGTTTATCATCAAAACCGCTATCCGACCGATATTTGTCTGAATATTGTTTTTATTCAATATTTCTAAATGATGTGCGTAGCTACTCTTGCTTTTTTACCCAGTCATATATTTCGATATTTTGTCACCACCTTGAAGTTGTCACTGTTTTTGTGACCGACTTTCGATGTCTGAGTTTGTTGTCTGTAACTTTTGCACACTTTTGTAATTATAGCCAGATGGTGACATTTTGCCATATTAATATGCCTTGGGTCATTTGCACCTGTCTTTTGATATCTGATCTCACTTTAACAGGTATTTTTGCATGGTCAGATTAACATGTACAGGACGTTTAATTATGGCCGCCTCCTGTCAATGCTGTACATAGTCATAATATGTAGAAGTTAGGTATAGTTTTTGTAAAGATAAGTTTCCAAGTTGTAAAAACTTTTTAGCAATTTTAACATGAGTGGCCGCGATCGGGATTGGCGGTTGGTAGGGTGGCGGTCATTGTGAAACATCCAGTAGTGATCAAAACAACCCTAAGTAGTGATCGAATCAACCATAAAACTTCACACGCTATGTAGTCCAAGGAGTTTCTCTTTTGGAAACAATACGTTCAAGGCACTTACTGACTGTTCAAGAATTAATACTAAGAACCAAGTCCAAGTTTCATCTTCAACAGTTGTTTAATGCTCGCTTCGCAAGGCAACACATGTCTCACAATAATGCGACAGTTAAACAATTAGTTGGCAATAAAAGTGAAGAAGCATTGCTCTTGGTGAACAATTTTGCGTTGATAACAATGATAAATGAATTTCCTAATTGCATTCTAGCAACAACTAGATGCTATTACCGCCACCAAGTTAGGTCAATATTGTTCCAAGGAATAAACATATCATGTCGTCTCAGAAGTGATATAACTTGTCGTTTCATTTGGAAACGCAATGTTAGGGTTGAACATTCGATGGTTAATCTTTCTAACGTGTCGTTTCATTTGGATTTGGAAACGCAATGTTAGGGTTGAACGTTCCATGGTTAATATTTCTAACTTGTCGTTTCATTTGGAAACGCAATGTTAGGGTTGAACATTGGATGGTTATCTTTCTAACTTGTCGTTTCATTTGGAAACGTAATATTGGGTTGAACATTCGATGGTTAATCTTTCTAACGTGTCGTTTCATTTGGAAACGCAATGTTAGGGTTGAACATTCGATGGTTAATCTTTCTAACGTGTCGTTTCATTTGGAAACGCAATGTTATGGTTGAACATTCGATGGTTAATCTTTCTAACTTGTCGTTTCATTTGGAAACGCAATGTTATGGTTGAACATTCGATGGTTAATCTTTCTAACTTGTCGTTTCATTTGGAAACGCAATGTTAGGGTTGAACATCCGATGGTTCATCTTTTTAACTTGTTGTTTCATTTGGAAACGCAATGTTAGGGTTGAACATTCGATGGTTAATCTTTCTAACTTGTCGTTTCATTTGGAAACGCAATGTTAGGGTTGAAAATTTGATGGTTAATCTTTCTAACTTGTCGTTTCATTTGGAAACGCAATGTTAGGGTTGAACATTCGATGGTTAATCTTTCTGACTTGTCGTTTCATTTGGAAACGCAATGTTAGGGTTGAAGATCCGATGGTTCATCTTTCTAACTTGTTGTTTCATTTGGAAACTCAATGTTAGGGTTGAACATTCGATGGTTAATCTTTCTAACTTGTCGTTTCATTTGGAAACGCAATGTTAGGGTTGAAAATTTGATGGTTAATCTTTCTATCTTGTCGTTTCACTTGGAAACGCAATGTTAGGGTTGAACATTCGATGGTTAATCTTTCTAACTTGTCGTTTCATTTGGAAACGCAATGTTATGGTTGAACATTCGATGGTTAATCTTTCTAACTTGTCGTTTCATTTGGAAACGCAATGTTAGGGTTGAACATCCGATGGTTCATCTTTCTAACTTGTCGTTTCATTTGGAAACGCAATGTTAGGGTTGAACCTTTGATGGTTAATCTTTCTAACTTGTCGTTTCATTTGGAAACGCAATGTTAGGGTTGAACATCCGATGGTTTAATCTTCCTCATCGAAACCAACTAATTATAAATTGAAAATCAGGTTAATGCTGAGAACTATTGTAAAACATTAAGAATAAATCCATTGAGGAAAAGTAATGCACTTGGTTTATCAAATGAAATGAAACTGGGAATAAATTGTTGTAAAAAATGTTTAATCATGTTTAATGTATTTTAGGAATAAATGCTCATATAGCTAAGTATGATATATCTTATTCTAGGCCATAAATTGCAATTTCATACTTAATAACAGATTAGTTGTTATATTTAGATTCTGTGAAGTTGATTACCCTCAATTCCAAGGTTGGTTGTTCTCTACCCAACGATCCTCGGTCTTGGATTAAAGCAAGTACTGACCATTTAACTATTATTTCTTTTTAACTATTCAGGTTGACGAAATAAAATAACTCACTAATTTGTCATGCAACTGGGAATGATATCTAATGATACGATTTTTCCATTTGGCTTTGATTTGCCTAGTCCATTTCAAACCCCCATGCTATGAATTCATTGACCAAATTGATATCAGAATTAAGTGATAACAAACGAAACAATACTCATGGGAAGAATGTAGATCACGGCAGACTTAGCACTGTCCACTCCCCGTCATCTTGATTAGATACTCTATATCATTAAACATTGAAAGGTAATCTCAAAAGGGTTTTAACAGTTCCAAGCAATACTGTAAGTTCGACTCGTTATTACAAAATACTCTTCAAATTATCATTGATTTTTACAATTTCAATTTTCAGTGTTTTTTCAGGAACAAATGGGAAAATAATTTAGTTTTTTAAAAACATTTTTCCTTTGAAATGATGTTAAAATGATTATTCCCATCAATATTGTGACTATTTTCTTCACAGATTATGTAAATAAAAATTCAAACATAAAGAGGCTTTAACACGTAGTTCAATGAGGGAGCTAAGGTTGCCAAACGTATGGAGGGGAGTGTATATGGTTTATAGGTGTATAGATCATGAGATCTTAAAAGACGAGTTAACCTTTGGTTTAATAGAGTTTGAGCCTGTTCAATATACTACCTGTGTGCTCATGAGGATTTTGCTTTTCTCTTGGGTTACTTCCCAATAATAAGACTTGCTCATTTTGGACAACAACTGATGATAAAGTGAAGGTCAAGTCAACTTTTGAAGCTTTGAAATTCATTTGCCATGTTTAAAGCCATAACGTATTTTCTCAGATCTAGTTATACGTCAAGACAATTCTTGAGCTGATTTTTAGGGTAGGGGCTAAAATGAAAAGTGTTAACACATATGAATGATTTTTTCGCGGTATTTCATGACCACGACTCTTGACCACGAGAGAGTTCTAGATGATAACAGACACTAAAATATACAATATAATTATAGTTATAATGATAAAGTTCGAGGAACTAAGTACAAAATTGAAATGAATTATGAATATACATCAGAGCATTATTCAAATCAATTACAGCATGAACTTGGGAGGGGGTGTAATAAGAGAAGGGGAGGGAGGAGCAAAAGTAATGGAAGTAAAGAGACGAGGAGGTTATAATAAGAAAAGAACGCTATGAAGAGAGGAGAGGAGGAAATGAGAGGAGGAGATGGGAAGAATGTGATGAGGGAGGGGATTTAGGAAGACGGAGTGGGAGGACGGTGAGATTAGGAGGGACTAAATGTAAAAGAAGGAGAGGGGAGAGGAGGAAATTTGAGGAAAGAAGTGGGGAAGATTTGGTGAAAGAGTCGACGGAAGAGGAAGTGCTAGAGGAAAAGAGGAAGGACTTAGAGATTCTTCCAACAAAAATGTGAATTATCATTTAGTTTAATTATTGTTAATTCAATTTAATCCAATGAACAAACATTTTAGGGTAATAGAGAGAGTATCAATAGAATACACAAAGTTGTAAGGCAAGTGCATTGGTGTAGTGGTTACAAGTTATAACACTGACCTTCTAAGACCATAAGGATTATTTGAGCGAATAAGATTAGATACCTCGGTATATAAAATGATTAGATTTTACACTGTCAAATTTCAATGATTTTTGTGAAAATATCAAAATATCTCCAATATTGACACTAATATGATATTGAGAATGAATGGCCTGTCTACCTTGATCACGAACAGCCTTGGCAACATTTTCATTCAATATCGTGGGAAATGTCAACAGAGTCTGTTATTTAATGTAAGATTCAGAACTCCCAATACTGCATTAAATTGACCAGTCTTGGTTTAATTGATACAAGAACACTTACACACAGAAGTAGAATATATTAGATGAGATATAAGGCATACGAGGGGTGATTCAAGAGTAATAGACAAAATGTTATAGGCATACTAAACATTACCCAATCAGTCTAATTTTTCACAGACATTAATTAGACAATAGACGACTATCTACTAATTGACAGATTTTTATTTAACTGCATTTAAAATTGTTTCAGCTATACATAACCATGGTAACTAGGTAAAGCTTGGGTGGAATCCACTTTTGAATGATAATTGAATATTTTTGTCATTTCTGTTTGATTTCATGTTAATGACTCAACACACTTGTATGGTCTAAAAATGCTCATGTAATTGTTAAGTAAGACTCATACGTCCATTTGTATGCTGGTGAGTTCTAAATTCAGCGGCTAATTGTCTTGTAACATCCCAATGAATTTTTTTAGAATATTGAGTCACAGAAAGTCAGAAAGTGAGTCCGACACTAAGATTCACAGACATCCAAGAAACGTGTCCTTTACAAGAAATTGAATCTAAAAAGGATTGTTATTGTATAATTAATAGAAACTGGAGACACAAGGTAAGCTGTTGTCAGGAAAACCAAAGACACATATGGAGACAAAACCTTGTCAAGACAAGCCAGGTATATACAGGGTGTCTCAAAAAAATGTACCCAAAAATATATCAAGAGCACAGATAAACCAATCAATATTTTCAGACATTTTTTGCATGGTCATGTTGAGCAAACATGAAAGTTTTCTCCTCAATACAC